GCGGGGCTCAACATTAGGAAAACATCCACCAACCCAAAATCGTAGCCGACAGGAATAGGCAAGCGAAAAAGGATTCCACCGCCACATCAATTTTTGACACGTCCTCAAGTTTCTCTTACCCGATTAGGAAGACTTGCCTTTTTGGGCAAGTTTGCCTCTGCCTTTTCTGCACACTAACCAATCTTTGTCATCACTTTCCGCACAGGATGGCCGAATCTAGAGGGTGTGTTTGCGGATCTCTATAGGTCAACAAATGCACCCTCTAGATTCATCCATTCTGTGCAAAAAGGGAGCACGGGGATCGGTTGGTGTGTTGGAGATCGGCAAACGCACCCTCTAGATGCAGCTATCCCATGAGGAAATGGAGCACGGGGATTGGTTGGAGTTCGCAGCCCATCTGGGTTGCGTTTTATGCCCCTGGAAGCTTTCAACGTCACTTCAACGTTCAACGTCGGAGGGTGGGCATTTTTGTTTGAGGGCTTAGCGAGGGGCAGGGCACGCGAAGGACCGATCGTGAGAAAAAAAACGAAGAGGCACGGGCGCCACGGCATGGAAGTTGGAAAAGCCGAAACGGCACGACCCAGGCCTGCACCATTCATGCCCCGCCAGCCCACTCCCACCCAGCCGGCGCCCCCATCCACTGGAGGTTTCTTTTGAATTTGGACTAATTCTTACTGCACCACATTTAGAAATGAATCAGCTCTCTCTCTCTCTCTCTCTCTCTCTCTCTCTCACACACACACACACACACACACACACACACACACACACACACGCTCACGTTTCAATTTCAGTGGACCTACACCCCTCTCTCTCTCTCTCATACGCGTGTGAATCAAAGTGCAGCGCTTGCACATGACTTACAGCGCGTGAACTGCCCACTCCCACCCCATCCACACTCTCTCTCTCTCTCTCTCTCTCTCTCTCTCTCTCTCTCTCTCTCTCTCTCTCTCCAATTCTCTTCTCTGTGCTACCACCTCTCTCCTTCTCTCTCTCTTTCTCTCTCTCACACACACAGACACTCACATTCACACACACTCACTCTCTCTCTCTCTCTCTCTCTCTCTCTCTCTCTCTCTCTTCTCTCTCTCTCTCTCTCTCTCTCTCACACACACAC